TCGATTCCAGGGTCCATGAAAATATTACTGGGTTTTTAAAAAAATTGTCTGTGGTAGCATGGAGTATGGAATTGTGCCCGGTATATGGCATATACTCCCTATTACATGGGGCTCATAACATAAAAGTGTGATAAGTGGGTGTTACATTGTACAATGCCATTAAGTACCTCGAGTGGTGAGCCTATTGCCAAATACCAAGCACATTCCCAGACTCCGTGTTACTACCGAGATTTATTTCTAAAAACCTAGTAATAATTTATAGTAATAGTGTGTCCTTAATCGATTAACAAATACAAAATACTAGAGCCATTCTTTCCCCAATTTTGCCAGACATCCAACGTTTCCAAGATAGATACTTCAATTTCAATCGAAGTGCTATCCACTTGAGTTGGACACGTAATTGAAACTGGACTCAAGGGTCACCTCTCTAGTTAATAGCAAGTGATCCGACACTATTGAGACACGTATTTGGTACTTATTTAGTTGTTAACGACTGTGCCTCTTTGACCTTCATTTGGGTAATGGGGATTTTCGTATTTTTATACTGATTAGGGGGGATTCTAATTTCGATGAAACAGGTTATAGGGTTCATGGTTAGATTTTTATTGTAGCTAAACGTATATTCCTTTATCATAGCAAAAAAATTTATGAACTATGAATGAAGTAGGGTGTTCCTTGTCTACGGTCCACAGATAATAAAGTCTGGCAAACGAAAGTAGAGACTGAGAAAGCCCGGCAAATTTAAAAAAATATCAGTATAGCAACCCAAAAATTAATATGTCATACTTGAGTTGCCATACTGATATTTTTTAAATTTGCCGGGCTTTTTCAGCTTCTACTTTCGTTTGCCAGACTCTAGTAGATATTATGTATTCTATCATTTCATTATCAAATATCTCTGTCTGTGGACCATGGACAAGACTTAATTTTTTAATTTTTCTTTATCTTTGTACCTTGGTATTTTTAATTTATATGTACCTATATCTCTATTATTTCTATGATACCTTGGTTAACCCTCGCTTTATATTATATTTTATTTTTTGTAGTTTTTGAATATGTTATGTGTGTTCTGCGCAAGAATAAATGTAATATTTTCTGTCTTCTTCTTTCTTTCTATTTGTTATTTTTGCAAAATTTTTTGACTGCCTCATTGACCGAGTGGTCGCAAGTGCCACGGCCGGTCAAGGGGTCTCGGGTTCGATTCCCGGGTCGGGCAAAGTATTACTGGGTTTGTAAAAACCTCAGTAGTAGCACGGAGTCTGGAAATGTGCCCGGTATATGGCAATAGGCTCACCCCCTATTAAATGGGAATGGGACTCATAACATAAATAGTGAAAAGTGGGTGTTACATTGTACAGTGGCATTAAGTGCCGTAATGTTCATCTCTGCCTACCCCTTCGGGGATAAATGGCGTGATGTTATGTTATGTTATTTTTGCATTATTCTATAAATATAATAAAATAGGCATAGTATTATTATAAAATGGAGGTAAAAAGAAATAAAATAAAACAATCAAATTCAATGATGATTTTTATTCTAATTAAATTTAAGTGGAAACATGAATTCTTATAACACGAATCTAAAGAAGGAAACGCTATTATATTCTTAATTACGAAATACTTATTAAAATAACAAATTGTCTTTCATTTTGTCATCGTTCAAATAATACAACACAACTTGTGCCAACAAAATAAACGCAAGCTTCAATATTATGGCACGATTGACACGACCACAATGACAATACTAGGTGATTACGAAAAAAAAAATACGAAAAAACAAAAAAAATATCATTACAAAAAATAAACTTAAAATTATGCAAAATATAATCAAAAACGTCAACGTTGTTTTTTTTTGCAAAATTGTGCCAAAAAACGAGCTTTTTTTTAATGAGAGTAGAGGACATACTTTTTTAAGTTTCCAAAAATACTGCTTGTATATAAGTTTGGTAATTTTCGCATTAAAATAAATATCACGTTAATAGGCCATTGAAATTTCAGTAAAGGCCACAAACAGCCCATACATATCGAGGACTCAAATATGCTTCTGATAAAACCGATTAATTGAATTATGAGAATTTTTTGTTTTTTTTTTCTAATTTTCTATTTGCCCAATGTGTTTTTTCTATGTGTAACTTATACTGCGCAGTCCTCTACCTACATTTAACAATACAAAGCTCGACAGTGCCAAATGTAACACTACTTATGTTAAAAGTGTAACAATTATTATGTAACTGTAATTAAAAACATTTTACAATTTTATCTTTACCTTTTTTACCATTATTCTGAGAAGGCACATGAAAATTTCTCTTATAAATAAATTAATCGACAGCGCGATGAAAATAATTTAAAATGTTCTTTAACTTATTCCTGTTTTCACTAAAAAGCGAAGGTAAAATGATTTTTTTTTATATTTTTTGTGTGTTTGCGATTAGAAAGTCGCAAGTGTGTCGTAACATTGAAATTAAAATCGCAAATACGTCGCCAGCCTTTCTTCAAGCTCAATTTATCGTTCTCTAATTCACTTTACGTGTAACAGTATTACATTATAATGTTTTTATATATGAACGGGTCTTACATACTATATAAAAATACAACAATATATTTCTGGATAAAAATTGTTTTATCTGTTGACCAAATTGAGATTAATTCAAATTAGTCTCGTTGTCTAACCTCGAACCATGGTCTCGAGATTATCTGATAGTTACCAATGTCAAAATTGACAGTAAAAATTTAGTTTTTTTTTAATCAACAGATTAAACAACCTTCGAGTGGTACCTAGGTGATATGCCACAGACAATATCTTATTTTGTAAACACTACAGTATTTTACAATGTTCTATATTATATAAAAAAAATTAAAACACAAATATTTGGATTAATGAACTAAAACAGAGGTATTTTGTATGACTTTTTTTTATTATTCTTTTCTTTTTTTCCTCAAAAACATTTTTCGTTTCTTAATTTTATCAATGGTTTTGTTCCCAAAACAGATTATGATTGGCCAGCATGATTTAGCTTGAATGATAAGCTATAACAATCAGCGTATGTACATGTTCAGCCGATAGCAATAACAGTGAAATTGTTATGACATGGAATAAGGTCCGTATAAAAAAAACAGAGTATTAAAATACTGGCTTCATTGAACAGAGTATCAGGGAGAATTTCGAAAAAAGAAGTTTATAGTAATTTTGTTATAAATGAAGGAACGAATTTTATTCCACAATCATAATCAATTTCATAATAATAACAAAAACAATGTATATCGCTCGCTACCACTACGTTAGAATAAGAAAAATATATATTTTTTTATATATCAAACTAATATTACAAAAGCTCATGAGAGTAATATAATATTATATATGATTTTTACATGCGATGCCTTTTTTAAACTTTTTCAAATTGGTTATAGAAAAAAAAGGATTTTTTCTTAGTTTTTTTCAACGTAAAGTTACGTGGCCAATTTAAATTTCATATTAAAAAAAAAATCATCGCACATAAAAACCACAGTGTCACAAGAAAATGTCTTTTACATTTTTAAAACTACAATACACTAATAGATATACAAACGATTATACACGTTCCCGCGTTTTTAAGAAAAATCCAAACAATCCAATTTCAAAAAATAAAAAAAGAATTTAAATTGGATCTGGCAAGGATACATTATAAAAAAGGATAAGAAACCTTTTTTAAATTTGACTAAAAACAAAACTGTACGCCTTTTCCTTAAACCTACACACTTGAAAAACTTAAAAAGAAAAAAAAACAAACGATTTTTTTACATGTCTTTATAATCTGCTGCTTTGAACTGACTTGCGGAATACATAATATATTGTCTTTAATCTATAGTCATGTTTCAAAAAAACCGTTATGAAAGCTGTCTTTTAATCGATGTTATTATAACATAAGATACATTAAATGCATATCACAACTGCCTTCTATCGTCAGTAATGAATATTCAAAATTTTATTTTATCCTGATGTATGTAAAGTACAAAATTTTACTGTAAGTATCATATTTTTTATTCATCAAATATTTAAATTACTACTTCAAAACTATGGAAGCCAAAATTGATGGTTTTGCTAGAAACACCATCTACAAAAATGCGACATTATTATTTTTTATTGTTTATTTTATCAATAAGTTACCTATGCATTTATTGTAAAACGTACGCATCTAATATTATAGAGATAGCTTTTCTATTAAACAGTGGTCCTATTAATATATTTTTTCAAGATAATAAGAAAATATCGCAGTGGTCCAATATTCATATTTAGTTGAAATTAATTTTTTTCCTCCCAATCGTTTTAAAATCGACTAAGCGATTATTCTTTAGTCGCAATCGAATTTTAACAATTTAAAAAATGACGCTGTCATTTCGTCGAATGACATTTGGCGGGCTATTCAAAAAAGAGCGCCAAATCCGTCGTAAGATTAGAAGAGCTATCCCATTGTTTCTTTTTTATTAAAAATGATTATCATTTTAATATAATTCATTTATGATTGTGGTTCTGACCCTGCCTCGTTTAAGCAATATAACTATTTTAATGGTACATATTACAAATTGTTATATTTCCCTTACAATAACTACGTCACTAAAAGCTTGACCGAATTAGGCCGATAGGAACTAAAGTGACAAAATGAAATAAATCTAAGAAAGAATTGAAATAAAAATGTCATTTAAAGAGAAAAATCGAAATGTGCTCTAAAGTTGACTAAAATTTTATTCAATGTTGTTTTTTGAACTGCGATTTTTAACGCTGATAAAATAACTTTATCCTTATTCTAACTCTCACTTACGTTAATTACAAAACTTACGTTAGAGCACTGTAATAGTAACAGCCATGTTGTTTAGCGCCTCGCTATTTGGTACTCGATCACTTCTCACATCAAGAATTTTTACACCATAAGTATTTCTATATTATTATGTAATTGAAAATACATCAATATTCATAACAATAAATACAGTACTTACTTTTAAATAGGCCACAGAATATTAAAAAAAAAGAAATTTTAAAAAACTATAATTATGGTACAAATTCAAGGAAAAATTTTATTTTTTAATTCTCGATTGTCAGTGATGTTTCGAGGCGCTTCCACAGTGGTGTCAATTCCTGTAACTATGAACTCTCTGGTTCATCCCAGTCGATGCTCGCCCATTGTGGCAGCTCCGTTTCGTACTCCCAGCCGGGTCCCTGCGAGAAACAAAATATTAAGACGTTAGTTAGTTCGATTAGGTAGGTATACGTTTTATTTTTAGAAGCTTGTAATTTTTTCCTCTGTGACATTAAGGCATTGGCTGCCAATAAAAAACTATTGAAGGCAAATCCTCCGCTAATGTCGGTCACCAGTGACTGCCATGGCGTTTAACGTGTTAAGGTACTCAGATCCAGATCCAGATAAATACGAAAAACATTTAGTTGGTCTTGTAATCTTTTTTTTAATTTAATAATAATATTTTTTTAAAGATTAACGAATGGAGTTTCTTACTCGTTCTTCTCCATTCGAATCTACATTTTGGAATGAGCACCTAGCTTCACCTAGCTTCACTGACGAACTGACTGACAGTCTATTATTTATTTTGTATTTGTTGACGTTTCTAAAGTACCAAATTATGGTTTAATTGAAATAAATGCTTTGACTTTGACTTTCTTTATTTTCTTTAATCATAATGTTCAACACGAAATTAACCGATCCCAATTTAAAATCTTTGCATTAAAATCGTTTTGACACGATATCTATATCGTTGGAGACACATAATTATAGTAATGACCTAAAAATCGACTAATACCGATTTTAGTTCCTCAAGAGACCGGTAGAGGCGCTGCAAAATATTCAGTACAAAAATTTAATGTCTTCTCTATTGAGTATCGACAAATACTATAACTTTAAACTCATAAAGACCGGTCATTATTTACAGCCCTTATAGCCTACTTGTATTGGTTACGATTAGATTTTTTGTGACAAAATCAAGAAAATTATCGTTAATTCTCTCTCAATACAAACCTTGTATTTCCACGCATGCAGGTACATGACGAGGTCCCTCGGTCTGGGGTCCCTGTACCTCACGCGGCACTCGTAGCAGTGAGGGTCTGAGGACAGTGCGTCGGTGGAGCCACTCGCCGAGCTACTGGCCAGTCCACTCGCCTGGCTAGTGGCCGCTGGCGTGCAGCCAGTTTGCGTCGCTACCGTCACTTTGTCAGACTGTTGAAGAGAATTTTAAGTTACAATACTAAAAATAATTGTACTTATAATGTAGGTACTGATACCTACTTTACCTTACCATTCGGTTGTTTTGTGTTAGTGGACTATTTAAGATTTATTGTGATAACCTAAGTTTTGAACACATGAGTACTGCCATACAAAAGGACCCCCATATATAAGGCTGCACGACATCGCCGCGACTGCGCACGCTGCTCATGAGGAAGAGCCCCTCTGTGGCTCGAAACTGGTAAAGCTTTTCTCAGTATATTCAAGTAAGTAACCCACGATTTTTAGTGAATTAACCCTCTATAATTATTTATCCAATCATTCCCAAAATCTTTGAAAACTGATTAAAATAAGTACTTATGCGGTAATATTTTAAGGTTATGGTTGTCTATCATCCACTCTGTCTGTAAAATATCTGTTCACCTTGATAATAGTGTGTTGACTCCTAGAATTATCCACGCCCCTACGTCCATTTAATCCAAATAACAGGGGATAGGCTTAACAGATGTATTCTAGGATGTCTCTAGGCCGAACTAATTCTACAAATCTTGTAAGAATCAGGCAATTAGGGCTCTGGGCTGATGTTAACGCGTTCCTGACATTAATTTAGGTTTGGAAGTGTTGGATTGTAGTTACTTTACAAATGTGGAACTTGTAATGGTCTTAAAAATGCAGTTGATTAAAAAGAGAGTGAGTTAATTTTGACCAAACCACTTCAACAGATCTTCGGTTTGTAAATCTACAAAAATAATCTAAATAGCAATTGTAAAACAGAAGTTTTACACGTATAGGATAACTATCTGTTTTTCTTTATTAACTGCTAGAGGTAATCCGATTTTAGAATGATCTTTTGACAATAACGAAGTCCTTTAAAAACGTTTTCGAAGCAAAAGGAACCACAATATTTCATGTATAGGTTACATTATCTATACATCCAGACTGTTTCTTCTGTAGGAAGGTAGGAAGGTAAGAAGGTAGGAAGTAGGAAAGATAGAGCATGTTTTCATCTATACCTTGGCATGTTAATGGGACAAGCCCGTCACAACCTCCCAAAACCGCTGCAACTCCTGTAAGCCAGGATCTACAGTAGATACAACCATGAAAACACCGGAACACTGAAGTCCGGCGCGTCCCAGGGACATGAGTAACTGTCTTGGTTCCCGCAACGAAGTGAATCAGAAGACATTATAAGAGGAGAAGAAGAAAAAACTATGGTTTTCACTTCCCTCGGTGAATTACTGCAGGAGACAGAATGCTATACCTTGGCATCATTAGAGTCTTCATTGAAGGATGGCGAGGCAACTGGTGACGGTGCCAGGGTGCACACTGGTGAGTTCACCTCCGATGGAGCCTCCGCGCCGCTTGATGGGCTGGGCAGGGTAGCTGAGGAAGAAAGGGCTGATGAAATTATGAAGGGAGACTTTCAATTGAGTAGGTATATTGCGCAACAATCATTCATTTTTACCCGATTAAAGGAAGGGTATTGTATTTTTGTGTGACGAATTTTGAATCAAAGAAAGAAGAAAGGAATAAAGAAATAACATGAATTCGACAGTAGGCACGCATACAGACACAAAAAAAAAACAAAATTAAAAAAGAAAAGAAGAAATAAATACACATCAATATGTGTTTTATTTCTTAATTTCTTTTTCTATAAATATATAGATATAAAAAAAAGAAACGACAGAGTATAACAACACGGTGAAAATACAATAATAACATAGAAATTAATAAAACAAGATATAAATAAATAACATTTAACGGCGCGTGCCCTTGCCAAAAGGGCCTCCATCTCAGCATTAAGTTGAGCGTACATGTCCAACGCTGATTTTCAGATGGCACCCTGATCAGATTCGTCACTATAGCAAATATACAACTACTTCTCTTTAGTTCTCTTTATGAATTGTATCATAAAATGAATTTATTATATGAGTTGTTATTTATGAGGTGTCTAATAAAATAAACTTATATAGGCTATTGGATTGTCTCTATAAATAAATTTGTGTCAAATTAAAAAGTTACCTAGTAATTCTACACTTCAAGGTCAGCGATAAAAATATAATTTTCTAGAAACCAGCAACAATACTTACGTGTCATGATGGAGGATGGTGTGACTCCTGGGGCAGGAGACTCGAGCCTTGGAGATGATTCCCTGGAAGCCGGTCCAGTGTCGCAGTCATCCTCACCAACTGTCGATTGGAATACAATTAGCTTTGCCATTAAAATTACGATCGACTGCTTCGACTAGAATAACAGGCAAATTAGTATTATTGTCAACACATGTCATTATTGTCATTTTGCATAAATTATGCAATGCCATGTTTTGTTTTGAGCATAGTAAATAAATAATTGACAATTAATCGGCATTTTTTTGTTGATAAAAAAATGATGTTCAATTCGTCTACAGTTTTAAACATTTATTCAAATATGAACATGAGTTTTGAACATCTAGACTTAATTTTATGCGTAAAATGCTAATAAAAATTACAGGCAAAGATGAAATTTCATAGCATTCAAAATAACAATAAAGTAAATCACGCCTTTTATCCCCGAAGCGGTAGGCAGAGGTGCACATTACGGCATTTAATGCCACTGTACAATGTAACACCTTCTTTTCACTATTTATGTTACGAGTCCCATGTAATGGGGGTGAACCTATTGCCATAGTTTTTTTCACACTTTTCCATACACAATTTCAGACTTCGTGCTGCTATTGAGAGCTTTTTTTAATAAAGAAATAAATAAAGAAATATTTTGCCCGACCCGGGAATCGAACCCGATACTCCTTGCCCGACAGTCGCACTTGCAACCCCTTGGTCAACGCGGCAGTCACAATATTAACTCGTCGAGTACCGGTTTAGTAGACACAATTATAGAACAATAGGTTGCGGTCACCGGTGACCGCTTGGTGTTTGACAGTTTAAATTAAATTGTTTTATATAGCATTTCAGCCACCAAACCCTTTCTATAACTGCGTCGTCCCCATCTTCAGTAACATTAAACACCAAAATCCAACCTTTATCATCAGACACTGGTTTAGAGAACAGCAGATCATCATCAGCAGCGTCAACTCCCAGCCAGTTCTCAGCATTGTGGATGGCAATCAGGTCTCTCACCAGCTGCTCATCAGACTTGCCACCCGTGTCACCTCCCTTTCCTCGAAGGGGACCGAAGACGGGGTGGTTATAAAGAGGGTCGTTGACTACCGGGTAACCTGTTTGGAGAAGAAATTAGATAAGGATTAAAAGGTGTAATTAGAACAGGGATATTCCTCTGATAGTATTTTATGCGATTCTGGGATCTTTCTAGTTTCTTAGTTATGTGTTAATATTACACTATTATTGCTATTTTTTAAAAGTGGTATCGGGTCTGATAATCTCAGTAATACCACTGCACTTGGTTTTAAATATCAGATGAGGGATTTCGAGGATAGCAACCAGGAAATAGCAGTTGACGACCTACAGCGCTTGGTCAAGGTTGTACAAAAACGAGAGCTGTAGGCGTTTAACGATGAGGTACCGAAACTGATCTAATTTGGACTTTTAAGTATAGTTTAATAATCATTGCATATCTTTAGAGGAGAGTATAATATGGCAGCAGCGCTATCTGATAATTATGAACCGTTTAAGCTATCTTCAACTCGCCTGCCACACGTGATCGCTTTTAGTCCATCAGTGAAATTATCATCAGCCTGTTTTCGTCCACTGTTGGACATAAGCCTCTCCAATGGCACGCCACTGAGCTCGGTCTTCAGCTCTACGCATCCAACCACTACCAGCCACTTTACGTATATCGTCACTCCACCTAGCTGGAGGGCGCCCTACACTACGTTTGCCTAGACGCGGTCTCCACTCCAGAACAAGTCTACCCCAGCGGTCATCGGTTCTCGACAAATGTGACCGGCCCACTGCCATTTCAGCTTGCTAATCCTTTGGGCTACATCGGTTACTTTAGTTCTCTGTCGGATCAGTGAAATATCATGAGCTAATAATGATGACCTTATGATATTAGAGGTATATAACAAACAATGTAACTCTATATTCAGCAACTCACCCAAATACTGCAAGTGCACCCTGATCTGGTGCATTCTCCCGGTCTTCGGTTTGCAGAGGACAACGCTGGTGTTGCTGGCCGCGTTGTAACCTAGCCTCTTGAACACCGTCGAGCAGTCCTTGCCCTTGGCTGATACCTTGCATACTCCGATCTTGTAGCTTACGACTTCTATTGGCTCTTGGCATTCGATTTCTTCGCTGTAAGGAGGAAGAGGGTTAGCTTTTGTGTGATGCCTAATGGTCCGTAGGAGTAGACAAGTGCGTTTATTTATTTTTTTTTATATTTGATGGGGCGACGTTTGACCACTATCTCGCCTGGTGGTAAGCGATGATGCGGTCTACGATGGAGCACGTCGTCCCATAAGCAACCTATTCACTCGGGCCTTGAAAGACTGCCAGGTTATACCCTTCAGGAAATACACAAATACAGACTCTGGCAAAGAATTCCACTTTTTAGCAGTACGCACAAGGAAGCTTGAAGCGAAGCGCTTCGTGCGTGTGGGCGGAACATCTACCATGAATCGGTTTCCTAGAGTTATTTGCATGGTACAGGGGCTTACAGTTTACACTAAATCAACTGGTCGCCCGGAGGTTTAAGATGTATACATGACGTTGTTATTCTGATTTATGAAACTACTAGCTTTTACATTTTTACTAGCGGCTTCGCTCGCATCACAAAAGGATAAAAAGTAGCCTATGTGACATATACCAATACACACAGCGCCATCTATACCAATAATTTCGTTTTCCCTCTAGATTATCGAATTTTTTCGGGATAAAAAGTACCCTATTATTTAATTTAGACTTATAACTTTACGTTTGCAAAAATTCAAAGCAATCGGTTTAGTAGTTACGGCGTGAAAGCGGAACAAACAAACAAACTCACTTTCTGATTTATAATATTAGTACGGATTAAACGTCAAGCCTTCAGTAATTGTGATTCGAGTCCATATCGTTAATTAGTTTATAAAATGTTCGAACTGCCACCAGGGAAATAACTTTCATTAAAATAAAGTTTTGTACGACTAAACATAACATAATATCACGCCTTTTATCCCCGAAGGGGTAGGCAGAGGTGGACATTACGGCACTTAATGCCACTGTACAATGTAACACCCACTTTCACTATTTATGTTATGAGTCCCATGTAATAGGGGGTGAGCCATATACCGGGCACAATTCCAGACTCCGTGCTACTACTGAGATTTTTTGACAAAGCCCAGTAATACTTTGCCCGGCCCGGGAATCGAACCCGAGACCCCCTGCCCTGCAGTCGCAACAGCGACTACTCGGCCAACGAGGCAGTCAGGGTACGACTGAACAACTAATATAAAGTAAAAAAAAATTGACAAATCATTTTGACTTATCTACCGAGTCCAGCACATAGACTCACAAATAAAAAATCCGTTTTCAATTTACAAATACCATTTACATAGGTAAAAGAACAATTTTACACCGCCACGTCTATATCATGTTGATTGTACTGGAAAATTGTAAACGTACTGAAACATTGTCAATTGACTATTCTGATGTTTTACGAATGAATCATTCATAAAATTGCGGAGAAGAATGAGAGAAATATTATAAACGAGATTTTCATTGAATATTTTTTAAAATCTTTTGAATTTAAGAAGAAGTTGGAGTATAAGACATACTCCAGTCTGTCTGTAGTTGGACTTACGAATGAGTTAGATGTTTAAAACATTTCATTGATATTAATATAATTATAATATCATAGTTATTATTTCTCGAAAGAAAAGACAGAGATGTCTGAACAGTACTAATAGTAATATCTTTATAATACGACTAGCTGTTGCCCGCGATTTCGTCCGCGTAGAATATGTCATTGTATAGGACATAACGTCGTTTTTATTTTTATTTTCCAAAATAAAAGTAGCGTATGTTACATTAGCTACCTATCAGTAAAAGTCTCGTCAAAATCGGTCCAGCCATTTCAGAGATGTACAGCGACAAGTGAACAATTACTGCATATCACTTGACAAGCTGTTATTGAGAAAATCGAGTTCAATAATCTACATAATATTAAACAGAATCGGACTCGCAACTCTAAATCGACAACTCAGCGGCTGTCTACGATGTCACTAACGCTATGGACTTACGATGCGATTTTCTCCCGCGCCAGCGGCTGTAGCGGAATGGAGATTTGTTTTCAAAACTTATGAGACCGCAGTTTCTTGCGGTCGGTAGTCGCCGCGTTTGCGATTATCGCTCGCAAACTTGGTGTGTGACTATCGCACAACGGGCGGTTAAACAATTAGTTGAGTTCGAGACCGGCCGTCCCATTGCCATCGCCCGCCAACTGATCGCAGAGCGCGCGGTTGCAATCCGCTGCGGGTGTGGGTTCGCGGCCGCGCCCGGCTGTGCCGCAAACAATCGCAACCGCCGCGGGCGTAAAACGCTCCGTGAAATGTGCTTTGATTTTATACATACACATCTGTATTCTATAAAGGCTGCGGGACCCCAACCGTGGCGGGCGCGGGAAAAAACCGCGCTGTCTAATACCAACACAGGCACAGAGGGCTTACTCTTGAATCCAATTCCGATCGATCGACATTGACATTGTGAAATTTCGTATTCTTGAGTTGCAACACTAGCTCCCATTGCATCCGTATTGCGTGGATATTGAATGAACTAAATGGTATTAAGTTTGGTTTTATATTCCGTACTCTGAATGCTACTTTAACAGTTACGATAGGGGTTGTATAGTTTTGACATCGGATAATTATTGAGATATTATTGGATTGAAATTGCATTGACATTGAGATTGGTTTCAAGAGTAAGCACCTAGGTAGGAGGTACAGAAATTGATATGAAAAAAATTATCCAACATTCATCAACATCAACATCTTTATTAAAACACTTCTGAACTTTCAAAGTGTACTTAAATCAATAAATATATTGGATTGGCTTGTCAACTGTGTTCTTCCCAAAGCTCAAATTTAAACTCTACCCGACCGAGTTAAGGTTTCAATTTCTTTGCGTGTACACCATGTGAATGGTCAAGTCATTGTGATTATCGTAGTTAGAAGATCGATACTAAGTGTTAAGCCTTCAGTAAATTATCAAAACTGTTTTATTTAACTGCAATGGTAACTATTTATGTTGAGAAACTTATTGCAATGTCATACACAATTGAGAATCAATAAAATCGTAATAAAGCGATCAATATTTCCTACATTCTAATCTAAGCATGTAAAATTCATCAACTGTCGTCCTGGTGGCCCGAACGTTTAAGACGTCCGCTTCTCATGTGCGGCAAAGTACCAAAATGAATTTTCCCGAGTTATATGTACTTTCTAAGATTATTTAGACACCACTGACAAACGGTGAAGGAAAACATCGTGAGGAAACCTGGGCTTATAATGTCTAATTATAAGTTTGAAATCGCCAACCCACATTGAGTAAGCGTGGTGATTAATGCTCAAACCTTCTCTGTGTGAGAAAAGTTCTTTGGTCAGCAGTAGCCACTTACAGGCTGTTGATGATGGTGATGATGTAACTTCATCAACATTCGTTTAATATTTTTAGCGTTTACGTATAGGTAATACACAGAATGGTCTAGAATTTCATGACAATTTAAACGTACTCGACCTTTCAAAGAATTCCTTTATCTATACAGATAAATAAAATTGGAGTATCTGTTTGTCATATTAAAAAACAGCTTTTTGCTACATGCATATACACATACCAAAAAACATTTTTTATGTCTGTCTGTTTGTACTGGCTAATCTTTGGAATGGCTGTACCGATTTTGCAAGACTTAGCTTAGGTAGTTGGTGTACTAAGGAGTAACATAGGCTTCTCTTATTTTGGAAAGTTAAACCAAAAAAAGCTATGTTCTAAAATTCATATTCTACGCGGACGAAGTCTCGGGAAACAGCGAGTTATTAATAAAAGCTTATAAAAGAGTTACTTACTCAGGGAACTCTCCATCGACTCTGCAGACGTATTCCTTCTGCACTTGTCTATTCCTGATCTGATGTTCCATCTGTCTCGCCTTCTTTGGACTCCTTCCGAATAGCAGGAGACCTGGTCATCACATCACACCGTTAAAGTATTAGAAAAAGCGGTTTAGAATATTGAGGATATCTCTCACATTTTTCATTGTTGTAGGAAACTGTGCTGAACTTTATTATCATTGACAAAACTGAATACAATACGGTAATGTAAGTAGTTATTATTAAAAAATATTTATCTTTACATTTCTCATATTCATTCTAAAGAAAATCTCACTGAATTAAGCGAATTTCTTTTTGAGAAACAATATTCGTACATTAATTCAAAACTTCAAAAGCGCGACTAGTTGAATGACCTCGCTTTGACTAGTCTAAAAACCACATCTTACACAGCATTTATTTTTTTTAAATTAAGTCAAATATCCCTCAGCCTTTAACCATTTATCAAATGAAACCCCGTCTTACGTTTGAAAAGAAGCATAAACCAGAATTACATTTACAGCAATTAAAATTTGTGGTCCTAGTGTAAAATGGTATAAGTCCAATTTTGTCGAAAATGAGTTTATTATACCAAAATGATTGACAGGTGGGACTAGGTAATTTTATACTTCAATTTCATATTGAGTTGTCCTCTGTGTTGTATATATGTATTTATATAAAACAATAAATGAATAAATTGATGATCAGAAAAAATGCTTCATCATTCAAGCTGTTCATATAACACATAACATCATGCCTTTTATCCCCAAAAGGGTAGTGATGATGGCACTCTACAATGTAACATCCACTTTTCACTATTGATGTTATAAGTCCCATGTAATAGGGGGTGAGCCTATTGCCATATACCGGGCACAATTCCAGACTCCGTAGTACTACTGAGAATTTTTTTAAAAACCCAGTATTACTTTGCCCGATCCGGGAATCGAACCCGAGACCCCTTGTCCGGCAGTCGTACTTGTGACCACTCGGCCGACGAGGCAATCAAGCTGTTCACCTATAAAAACATTACGTCATCTATTTTCTTATATAGTGGTTTAAAAGACACACGAGACGAAACACGAATATGAAGCGCACTGAGTTATATCTTGCGTCTCCTGTTGAGACCAGAAAACCGACGCGAAGCAACATTTGCGTTGTGTTTCATCGTCTGAGTGAGGTTACCGGGGGTCCAATTACCCCACTATAACCCCCATAACAGAACCCCCAACGATTCTCAAATTCCTTATCCCCAAAAGGCCGGTAACGCATTTGTAACACCTCTGGTGTTTCGGGTATCCATGGGCAATTGCTTACCATCAGGTGATCCGTCTACTCATTTAGCGGTTTATTCCAAAAAAGTTGCATTATTAGACTTAGCTCCTTTTTCACTAGAACCGCAGTTTCAGTGAGGGTAATTTTCTAAGTGGTTTCTCGTGAAAAGATTTTGCCGTTTAGGGCTTACCTGACGTCAACCTGTCGAGTCTGTGGATGGTCCTCAAGTTTTTCAAGTTGTACTCTTTTGCGAGAATAAAAACGACTGTGTTGTGCCTGTATCGTCCACACGGGTGCACCTAGCGAAACATTTTTTATTAAAATGGATTTAATTTTTGAGACGATGGTTTAAAATTTCTGTAAATAGAATTTAAAATTCAATCTTAACCATGCTTTTAAATTGACAGAAATATTTAAAATGTCAAAAATGTTATTATTCATCTTAAAGTAATAATTGAAAATTCGTATAAAAATAATTTTGATCTGAATACTAAAACACCAGTTTTTGTCTCCACAGACTTCTAATTGAAGCGACGATTGTAAGTGGAACAGAGTTTTAATATTCAGACGTTAGCTTATTGATTCAAAATCCCAAAATACTTATAGACATCATAATCAAGATACCTGATGAAAAATATAAACGAATAAAGCAACGGTGATGAAGCAAGTCAATGAGAGGCCAGTGATCATTCCCATGACAAAAATCAAGCGAAAATATCACATAAACTACATTACTTAATGTTGTAAATACATTAGCAAGATTAAACACACTCGCTAGATGTTTGCCAAAGGAAATTAGACCTTAGTAATGATGATATGCACACAAAATGCACAGATACCATACGTTTCTAAAATATAAACGTAAATAAGAGTACAAATAACACAGCAAAATCAATATATTGATTTACATGCACAGTAAAGAGTGACAGAAAGACGAAGAATAGAGATATAGAGTAAAGTAAAGCGAGTACCGAGCATTGAAGACAAAGAATTCTAACATTTCGAGAGATTGAATTGCATCGATTTTACTCGTAACCTCATTGACACGAGTAGCGGTAATGGTAGCGGATAGAAACACTACTTTTTTAACACAATCAGCCAATTGATCTTTAAATACAAAATTTAGTACACAAGAGGTCCTTTATCCAGATAACAAATTAACAGCATTGAAGAAAACACATGCTTTCAATGAAATTTCTGTTATAACAGAAGTTTACATTCTTATTTAAGGTTAATATTGTAAACGAAACTCCTCATGCATAAAATCGTTCACCGTTTTACGAATATCTCATATACGCCTTCTACGTAGCAAATTCGAGTTTGTATTTTATTTATAGGCGGTATAAAACCGCTACCATCCACTGAATTTGTTACTGCAAACATGATTTAGGTAAAAACTCACTAGAATTGACAGAATAGGACGTTAGACACTCTCAAGTTTCTGCAACTCAATTTACCAAAATGTAAGAGAATATATTGGTAAACTTGTTTCTGGACAAAAATAATTGAATCAGGTTAAACACTTTGGATAACACGGTACGCGCTTCAAAGAAATGAAATAAAATAATAGAAAGTATACGGGGCTCGCAATACTCAAGTTCGGGACCACTTTCAAGTGGTATTTTCGACAAGACCGCACATTTTCAACTCTGTTTGTGGTATTATGTTTCAAACTTTTGTGCAGATCACAATCTAGTCAGACTCTGACAGCGTACTTTGTTTGGACCGAGAAAAAAAAAATTAACCCACCGAATTTCTCCGTGCTATCTTTGAACAGATTTATTTTCTTTCTCATTGTACTTTCAACGGTCTTTCTTTTACGTCCTTTTTGTTACAAAAAAGGGATCCTTCTATTGTGGGAAAATCATAACGTTACAAAAAGGTATTACAAACTTCAGGGATTATTTAATTGCCAAAGATTTTCTGTCGTCTCACAAAGGATTCCTGGCTGTGTAGGGATTTTGGGAAGCAATCATGTTTCTGCTTTTTATGATACTGGGGTGGTTGGAAATAATGAAGGTGGGTTTGTTTTTAAGTATGTTTCAAGGTCTAAATACCAGTCAGAGCCTGACGATGATTATAAAACGGTCCCAACGCATGACTCACCGGTAGCGAGCAAGGCTTGTCTAGCACGAGTAGCTCTTCATCCACGTGTATGATGCGCAAAGGACTAGCGAGCACTGGAGTCTCGTGCCTGGCCCACCACGGACACAACATTGTTTCATTACGGACTTTATATAGTCTTATGATGTTGCAATTGCCTTTGAGAACAACTATATTAACCGTCCGTTGCTTCTATTTCAAAATATTCTTTCATTTTGGTAAAATAATAATCAGAAATCTGGATTGTGATTATAACAAACGATTCAAACATAAGGTTATATAAATTCTTAGCTGTTACTAACTCAATATCCCCTTTGCGGCGTCTGCTTGGGAATTTAATAATGCAGAAAAATCTGATCCATAAATATTTTGATCGAGAGAGCTAGACTTCAAACTGAGCTTTATTGATGTATGAGTTATTTACAAGGCGTGGTTACATACAACGTAGAACAATAACAAAAGCTTCTGTCTTTATATAAGTAAGACAAAATCTTTGGAAGATTTATGAGTACTTTTAGCACCAAAATCTAAAGTAGAAGTAAGATTTTCTATTAGAAAAGGTAATAGGGATATTAAGGGTACAAAACAGCTAAACAAAGGTGATCTTAATGGCTTATTCTATTATGCACAGAGTGGAAACATTAAAATTAATGAGATACTCAAAGTGCATTACAACATCATAGACAATGTAAATACTTAATACATTGGAGACACAGCAGAAATAGGGTCCTACTTTCAAATGCATGACATTTCGAGTAATTAATAAAATATTAGTGCGTCATGTTAACGCATTAATATTTTCAAAGATACGGACAAAAAGAATGTGGAATTTCTTTGTTTGCGTGCAAGAATTTAGAACAGTTTGGGTGGATGTGTTTTTAATAAAAATGGCACATTCGAAGTGAGTGTCAAAGGAGGACCGTATGAAGGAACAATTAACTATTTCGCTGTGTAAAAAGTTATTTACGAATCTAAGGATTCTAATCCCGCTTGACTTGATGGCAGGATTCTGATATCTAACACATAAAATGGATTTCACAGTGTACCGAGTTGCTCATTACTTTCATGTGTAACGGATAAATTTAATAAAACTTTAATGAACGTAGCCTTGAGTATATAATACAATTTGTTTACCAAGTGAGTGGTATACGATTTCATTTTATTTCGTGTATTTGTATTTGTGATTTCAGAAGTTTAATTGTTTATGTTAGAGAGAGTAATATGTTAGTTAGTTTAAATTAAGAATTAAATTGAAAGAGAAGCGTTAAAGAAGAATTCAGTGCATTAGTAGTAGCGGATAAAGATTTAGAAGTTGATTAAAAAAATTTTTTTAAATACCTACCTACATAACAAAAGAGATAAAATCCAAATCTTAATTCCAAAGATACAAATGATTACGGAAGACGTAAAAATACAAGTAATAAATACAATTGATTTACGAAACCCTAGTTGCGGATAATTTGGTATACATTTGATTATCAGGGGAGAATGTAGGTCACATTGAAAATATTTTACTTTGCACCGCTTTGGGGGCCTCACATTGAGCCCTTATATCAATCACCGAGATGGGGGTCTCAGAATCATTTGGACCCTTTTACATTCAAACTGACGAAATATTTCTTTTCTATGGAATCCGCCTAACAATTACGTCGGCATAATCTTTATTGATTTCTCCTTTTGACCGATTCTATTGGGTCGAATTTATTACCATTGGGTATTTCGGTAGATTTTTTGAGTGGTTTCCCTGAAATTTCTGGTCCCTAATTTATAGATAAATTTCTTTATTAAATACGTAGTAAATATTATAAAAAATGTAACCTAAAGATATTTGAGTTTGAAATACTGAGCGACTAATAATTTTTCTTCCTTTGTATATGAAATTAAACTGTCAAATACCAAGCGGTCACCGGTGACCGCAACCTATTGTTCTATAATTGTGTCTACAAAACCGGTACTCGACGAGTTAATATTGTCATCATCATCATCATCAACAGCCTATAAATGCCCACTGCTGAGCAAAGCCTCTTCTCACACGGACAAGATTTGAGCATTAATCACCACGCTTGCTCATTGCGGGTTGGCGATTTCAAACTAATAATTAGAAATTATAAGTCCGGGTTTCCTCACGATGTTTTCCTTCACCGTTTGTCAGTGGTGTCTAAATAATCTTAGAAAGTACATATAACTCGGAAAAAGTCACATTGGTACTTTGCCGCTCATAAGAAGCGGGCGTCTTAAACCTTCGGGCCACCACAGCGTTATTAATATTGTGTATTTTCTTATTTCAGGACTATCATCAATCAAGCCAATTATATACAATAGAATACGAGAGTACAAAGTTTATTCCCAAAATAACTTAGAATTCATACAATATGAAGCTTTTCATCCCTTGAGAGCAGTCACCTAAACCGGAGTACAAATAATTATAGAAACACCGTTGTAATACTTATTGTCAGTACCATAATAATAGGGGGTGAGCCTAATACCATACAATGGGCACAATACCGAATCACAGTTTGAAAATACAAACAAATAAAAGGCAACGATGCAATATCCTTTCCTGAAATTTCCACTTCACTGAAACGAGACGTGAGGGGAGAACTAAACGTGTCTGTAAGTCTAGGTACGATCTAGATATCCTAGATGGAATCTAGACTTTGTGTTATTACTAAATGTTATGTATTCGAAACAAAGAAAGAAAAATAACTTAATATCATGCCTTCCATCCCCGAAGGGGTAGGCAGAGGTGCACATTATGCCACTGTACAATGTAACACCCACCTTTCACTTTATGTTATGAGTCCCATGTAAAAGGTAGTGAGCCTATTGCCATATACCGGGCACAATTTCAGACTTCGTGCTACTATTGAGATTTTTGTTTAAAAACCCAATAAATCTTTGCCCGACCCGAGATTCGAACCCGAGACCCCTTGCCCGGCAGTCGCACTTGCGACCACTGTATTACTGCCACTTAAATGATACTTTATGACTTTATAAAACAATGAATTACAACGCCACTACTGAAAATTCCCTTCTTATTTAATATCAGATCTCTGCCTTACCCCTAAAGACGGTGATACATAGAAACAAGAGCCTTTAATGACAACCAACATACATACACATAAACACACTAGCAAGAGTAATTGGTGTACATTGTTGTTTCATTCTGGGATCCGCGTTAGGACCTCCGTTTTGGTTCAAAGGGATTTCCCATATTCGGGTGTGAAATGCTTACTTTGAGTATAAGGATCGTATTAAGCTGATTATTTCATTCATCACATCTAACAATGGGGTTCTGATTACTTAACGAGGTTTTGTTTGAGTGTGTGTGCTATTTAGACTTGGTAGGTTATGTTTTGACGTTCATGTATAGAAGGGCGAGGCTATTGTTACCCGATGTGTTATAAACTAACCATTACCTAATAATTTGTGGGATTTGAGGATCGAAGCCAAAACTTCTGAATAAACAATTTATCGTACCTAGGCAAGAAAGCCATGCTTTCGGCTTCGGCTGCATCGGCTTTAAGTGTGGAAGAGCCATGCTTCGGCACGAATGGGCCGGCTCGACCGGAGTGATACCACGGCCTCACAGAAAACCGACGTGAAGCAACGCTTGCGTGTGTTTCGTCGTGTCAGTGAAGTTACCGGAGGCCCAATTACCCTCCCCTTCCCCAATCTCCCCATCCCTGAATTCCCAACGATCCTCAAACTCCTAATCCCCATAAGGCCGGTAACGCACTTGTAATGCCTCTGGTGTTCCAGGTGTCCATAGGCGACGCCGATTGCTTACCATCAGGTGATCCGTCTGCTCGTTTACCGGCTTATACCATAAAAAAAGCAAAGATCTTTTGTCACAAAGAATATTGTTCATATTAAAACTTTCGTGAGACATTCAAAATTAATTATTATGTTTTCAGCTTACTCACGAGGAACTCGACTAGTTTCAAGCTAAGCTAGAGGCTCATGTTGACGCGACGGCGTCGAGGGTCGCGGAACGCTGCTCAGTCTAATCGAGTTATGATAACGAACAGAGAATATAATTTAAAAATAATATTCTTAGTCCTACGAAGGAAGTGTATTTAGAGAAGAAAATGTGGAAATTAACTAACTCAATAAAATACGGCCGTAATCATTAAGAAGCTATTAAATAAAAGATCCTGTTCATTATCTATAGTAATAGAAATCGGAAAAAACAGTAATGTGTATAGCAAACCATACATTTTATGACGTACGTACCTTTAGAGAACTTTGATAGGATACGAAATAAAGCCGCGTTTTACTTTCACTTCTTTTAATGCTTATAAAGAGGTTGAATGTCCAACAAAAAACAGTTTTATTGATGGCAGAGATTGAAAACATGCGTCCCTACCCAACGTAACAAAGAAACAAATCGTAAAAATACAATTTGCACATTAAATAGAGCTTAGTATGGGTTCCTTGGGCCATCAACTATTTTACGACAGTCTGCCGACCAAGGTAATTGAAAACCGCTATGATAAAGGCATTATCCAATCGCAGTCACATCCATTCCAAGATCATAAGCTTCTTTAAATACATCAATAATACCATTGACACTTCCCTTCAGTAAAATTTCTACAGAACTTATTTCAAATCTAAGTATTTTATAAGCTCCTAACGCTGAATTCAAATACTCATAATATTTGCATTTCTAAGATCTACCTCGGGGTATTGAAGGAACATATTTCTCCATTGAAAGCAAAGCAAGGAATATTAATTCAACGCCTACGTCTAAAAATATACGCCCTGTATAAAGGCCGACGTTGAAGTTGAGTGAGTGCTGAAAAAAATCAACTTCTTCCCCTGTTTTGCATGTAAATTCCTACACCTCCCACACTCCCGTTTTATTCCGTAAAAGCCGATATGAAAGTGCTCCATAATATTAGGTGTCTTCTATCATGTAACGTTAGAGTATTTCTTGCCAAAGGGACCGCTTTACGTTAACGCAAAGGACTTTGTGAGAAATTAGCTTTTAGGGGCAGGAAAGCGGATTTCAGAGAAATGGAAGCCTAGCACGGTGGTCCCACTAAAACCGTGCGACCAACTAAATTAAATTCCCGCCGGTTAGACATTAAATGCTATGTTCTTTATCGTCTGTCTAGTCGGTGAAGTATTACACCGAAATTCAATTTGCGAGTTATGATCTCTTTATAACTTTGTTATCTTTACTTAGAACATTGGAAGCGAAGAATTAGATACTAAAGAATAAAATGAAGCTTTAATTAGTGCATTACTAAGTCTATATTAGCACGGCATGCGACACAGAGAGGGTGATATACAAGTAGTTGAAGTATGACAAGCGTACACATAACATGGCTGTCTCATTTGCCACTTACGGGGATAGAGGCCGGTTTGTTGACAACCACAATGTCCTCGTCGATATGAACGAGGGTGATCGGTTGGCTGGTGACCGGTACTTCGTGCCTGCAACGATACACACGTCAGGCTTACGGCTTCTGGGCGACGGACTCGGAGCAAAACCACGTACAATTACGTTGAGGACGAAAAATCTCCTTTACGTCGGTTTTGTGATATTGATTAGGTGGAGTGTATAGACAATTAGTTTTCTGGTTATGGATTTCATTTTGACTATCTTGTTTGTTGCTGGAGTGTCCATTAGTGCTACTCAAGTCGAGTTTTGCTCAGAGTTCGTTTCATTATCAGTTCTCGTGTCGTATGAAATAAAGATTAGACGAGAACGTAACAGCAAATGAACATGCGTGAGCGATTGTAAGATGTATCGTGTGATGCATGCCGTTTGGACACAAGACACTGTGTTGGACTATCAGAAGTAAACAATCAAGATATCAAGTGTTTAAGAACTATGTGTCTTCTTGGATTACGGCCAATATGCACTCGCATGCTCATTCGGTGCTTTAGATTATTATTGAAGATTATATTTGTGTTACAGTGGACTAAATACAAATTAGACCTGAAATACGAACAAGCGACGCACGTCACATTATTATAAAAATATTTATAGTTAGAGTAATTGTGATAGTATGTAAGGATACTTTAGTAAATAAATACATATAAGGCGAGAAAAATAAAGTTATTATTTACAATACTGAAATCAAAGTATCATTTGAGTTTGACGAGTATTGTGTAGAACAAAATAATGTTGATGTGTTTGGTTTGGGGTTCGTGTATATTTATTTCTAAGGTGCTGTAGCTATCTGAAGCGAACTACTAGATACCGTTGTTTTTGTGGATGAGAACGTATTTGTTACCTATGAACAACATTTGCTAGAAGGTCATTGTGCTTCAATCTGTAATCAGGGTCCACTCTCTCGTAGTTGACGGTGAGGGTCCCCGCTCGGATGCACCGCTCGTACTCAGCTGCCGGGTGGGCCCTGAATTCCCTCGCAAATACGTCGAGAATTTTCTCACCGACCCACCTTCCTTTGGTGAATGTTGTGAACGTGAAGTAGTACGGGTACACTTTCCTGAGGCCTGTAATTAAAAATGCTTTGAATATTTTGGTAGAAAATAACCCAACAAAAAAGGATAGTGGTGAAATACCAACAAAACACAATCTATAAACGTAAACATTCTTGTTTCATTCTAAAATTAATGTAACCCCATTAAGGTTTTACTGTAAAGTTAATATCACACTTAAAATGATTAAAATTCCCTAATTTATCAAATAAAATCTTGAGTAAAAAGGCTGCGAAATATTTCCAGCATTTTAAAAAGCGGCCATATCGCAATTTATAAGTCGTTACCTCGAAATATCTGCATAGCTGTAAACCACAACGGGGGGTTGAATGAAGAAAGCGCCATTGCGGTTAGATGACTAAGGCCATTAGATCATAATGGGCCCTTCTGACATTAGCTATATTGAAAACTAGCGTGCCCGCTGTTTCATCCACTTAATGTCAACGTGTGAGGTTACGTAATGGGTCGACACGTTGCTACTTTTTGTTGAAACTATTGTATTACGTTGGTTAGTATTGCTTTTAAACGAGCTTTGTGATGTTATATCAAGTACATGTTTGTTTTTAGAAACAACGAAAGGCACAATAATGTAATAATAGACAAAAACAATTCCCCAAATGATGGCAAACATAATAAAGATATTAAAGAAGCAAAAGTCTCTCAAAATATTACGTCTCTCAAAATTAAATCAATTAAATTGGATACGCGTAATACCGTTGGCCATATTACTGAAAATTATCTTTCTATTCTTAAAATTGAAAAGATGAGAATAAGGATAAGAATCAAATCAATGGAAAAGAAAAAATTAAAGGAACAAATTCGTTATTGAAGATAGGTATTCATGTAATCCAATATCTGTCAAGGTTTGTAAAAACGCCGTACTTAGGAGGAAATATAAAAAGATATTTTGAGAGGATGAAGACGTTACTGATGGTTCGCTCAAGATTGCGACAAAATAATATTTATAGAAGCGACAGTTTCTTGTTCAGCTACAAAATGATTTGTTATGGTTTCTCTTTCATTGATTGCTTTCTCAATGTCGTTTATTATTTACGGATTTGTTTCTGTTGATTATTATTGTTGTTCTTTTATTATTTATTTATCTTTATATCACAAAGGTAAGTATTTTATAATCTAAGCCCCACAAAACCGTTGCAATGGTTTGACTGTGGGGTAAACAAGTTTCTAGACATTGCAATTAAATGCATTTATAATTAAATATTACATACTATATTTGTTTGACGTTGCTCTATCGTTTTCTAATGTCTTAACAGCAATAATACTAGTATCATCTTTATATTTTTGGACTACAATGTAGTTTTGCTTAGACAATTGTTTTCTAGGTAAAAATAAAGGTCATGAAAGCTTAGTCAGATAGTTTTGACCTGTCTCTCAAATTGTATTGTTTAAATCGAAATTTAGTCAACAAATGCAAAGTCAGACTTACCATTTTCAATATAATAAGACGTTTCGTTGTACCGGTCATCTGTGAATCCCGGCCTTTTTGCCTTCAAAGCTTTTGTTTCTAACTTCGCCTGGAACAAAAGAAAAAAATAATAAAAACCATTGTTTTCAGTTTGCTTTTATGAAGTTGCGAATGTTGAGATAGGCTTTATAGTAAAAAGTAAGGGCTGTATCGTGTGTGGCTAACGACGTGACGTCAGCTAGGTAAAAAGAGGGAGTGGAGAATATAGGTTTTGCTTGTCTACTGTGAAAAATAACGATGGGTGTGTACGTGTATTTCTTTTGCTTATTGTATTCTATAGGTATTTCTGTTGTTACTTTGCGCTGTAGGTATGTGATTTCTGACTTCTGTTAGATTAAATTGGGTTGGTCAGTAAAATAGGGATTGAGCAATTGAGCATACAGCCGCGTACATGATCATTGATGTTGCGGCGACAACAAAATAATAAAGACAAGTTAGACCATAAAACTAACAGATGGCGTGACGAGTCCTAGGTCGCGCATGTGAAGTTAGAGCGCGATTTAACACAAATACAAATTAGCTACGTACAACTGTTGGGTACTAGCTCACTAGACACGATCACCGACCCTGATCGAAGGCAAGGAAAGGAATATTTGCACTATCAGATTACAATATTACTGACAATGAATATCTTAAAGAGATTTTCCTCAATCATTGTCACACCAAATTAAGTTATGATACTTTTAAAAATCTATCATAAAAAGAATAAAACATTTCTGCAGGTCGGTTTCTAACGAAAAACAATTTGAAGTAATTCTTTGTAATACTGAAATGTATGTTCAAAGTGAATATTTGTTTGTATGAAGGCATGTAGGTTTCTTCTTAACAAGTTTTGGTACCAACATAGGTCCCAAAGGTTGGCTCAACCGTATAAGGGCAAACATTGGAGCCAATATGGGTTGGTAAAAAACTTAAATCCACTGGGACGAGTTCGGCTGAGAAAATTAGAAAAGTTTCTTATTAAAAACGGAATGGTTTGGTGTTTTGTGTTTTTTGTATCGATTGGATGAAATCATTTGGAATATTGTAGTGGATTTAACTTCAGTAGAATTTTTAAGAAAGTTTCAAGTTTCTATAATTTAACTGCACTTCGAGCCGGAGCCCCGGCAAACCGTTAAGTCCTACGCGGCTTCGTATCAGCATCAGCCTTAATGGGCCCCATCTGTGGTGGTCTGACGGCTTTTTGAGGTGTGTGCAGAACGCGATGCGACACACCGCTCGGGTCTGGTTCTAGTCATATCCGTGCTAACCGATTGCAGGCCCGTTACGGTGGCCGGAAATCGTCTCGCGATCCCCAACGCCCGGAGTGTCTCTAGCGACGACTGGGGCGTAAGGAGGCTTTTTTCCTCACACGCTCTGCCTCCTCTTTGGGGATGGGGCCCAATAGGGTTGATGTCGATTCGGAGTCGTGGAGAACCTAACTGGTTACCGTGGCTCCGGCTCGAAATGCAGGAGAAGGAACGGGGTGGTTTTTAGTCAGTAAAAGTCTGACACTCCCTTCCGCCTCACCCATGCGGGAGCAGTCATTCGATGATTTTCACCCCTTAAAAAAAAACCTGACCCAAACTTAAGTTACGTCCATATCATTGTGGTGGCATCTTGTTACTTAAAAATAATTTGATATATAGTTTACTTAAACATGTCATTGGACTCAAGAGAAAACTACACACAATTAGGAAGTAACAATACAAATACACAAAAGGAAATCAGTCCACAAATTAGCACTAACAAATAAGACCTATTTTCGCTTAATACTGTCAATAAATTACCGACTAACGACAACAAATCTTTACGTGACAAAGGAGAGGAACTTCGCACTTTGTAAGCGATTCACTTTGTACTACAAACGGATAATATCGATTCAGCATTTAGGTATATTGTTTTAGCATCGAGAGGTGGTTTTGTTAAAATGGTGTGAAGTAACAGGTTAGTAAAGGTGGAGTAGAATATTCAACTTAAAATTGAGTAGCGTTTCAGTATTTGGGCATTTATTTTTAAAGGGGGGAAAGTCATCGAATGACTTGGGGAGGCGGGAGGGAGTGTCAGTAGTATTCGGCCGTAAGACGAACTTCTCTGTCGGTAGATAACTATATATTTTTGCAATGCAATCTGTGTTTAATTTAGTTTATGAGACAGCCATATTTTGCCGTTTTACCGCATTAATATGAAGACAATAAAATACGTACTTGTACAATAATTGTCCCGCGGGTGCTGTGATTATAACTACAACAGCTGAGGCTTAGCAGTGATTGGTCGATCAACGTCTGACGTCACATCGCCTGGATTACCGCCATATTGCTTTTTAATTCGAACATGGAACGTTATTTGCGGGACTGTTTTTTTTTGTTTGTGTAAGTTATTGATAGTCTATATTTACTATGGCGTATTTTTTTTTTCTGATATGTTTACAGTTATTGTTTTTTTGGGCCGTTCGGTTTGTATAATAGACATAGGTACTTATGTATGACATGTATTATTTATAGTTTTTAGTTAATTAGTTATTTTGTAATTAATAGTTAAATTTTGACTGTAATCTCTTCAGTAACACACAGAATCTGGATATCGAATACCATTTTGCATGAGACCCTCAAGACCACTATGACAATAAATAACACACGTAATAGAAAAAAAATTGTGAAGCACAAAATTAATTACTCTTTTTTTGTCACTGACACAGTAGACATTGGATGTCATAAATACATGATTTTTTTATATCAATTATCAAAATTATTAAATGAAAAGCCAACGTAAAAAAAAGAACCTTATCGTCAATAGTTTTAATTGACTACAAAACAAAACTAATAACTAAATTCGAAGCAATTATTTGGCAACTGTAAATGAATTCATGTGGCACACGTTCAACGATAAACTGAAACTTTAAATATAAACTGAATACTGAAGTGGGCATTACCATATCAAGTGCTCGAGTGGTAAATAAATCAAATGTTAGAGTTAAACTTATGTCTGTTTAAAGTTACATTTTAACTGGAATACATTTAGCATAGGTACTATTTTACTTGTAGAAGTATGTTTATATCGTTTATAGAAACTAGGTTTCAGAGGGCCGTCTTAACTGAATTAATTTGTTACTAGCAACCCGTCCCAGCTTCGCACGGGGAAGACAATTTTTTTTTTCAAAATGAAATGTTGTCTATGTCAAATCGGAAGAATGTAGCATTCTATTGGTGAAAGAATTTTTTAAATCGGCGCAGTACTTTTTGAGTCTATTCATTACAAACATACAAAAATAGGTACAAATCTTTTCCCTTTATAATATTAGTATAGACATAACATAACATCACGCCTTTTATCCCCGGAGGGGTAGGCATAGGTGCACATTACGGCAGTTAATGCCACTGTACAATGTAACACCCAATTTTCACTATTTATGTTATGAGTCCCATGTAATAGGGGGTGTGCCTATTGTCATATACCGGGCACAATTCCAGACCCCGTGCTACTACTGAGATTTTTTTTAAACCCAGTATTACTTTGCCCGATCCGAGTAGTATCCAATCCGAGATCCGAGAGTATTTACATTACACCCAAATAAACCGAGTTGGTTGCGACGTAACAGATTTTTTATTTGTTTACATTACACTTAAAATAACATTTAAATCATTACAAATTGTAGTCTATATATTATTGCAATGTATCACCTATATTACTGTGAAGTTTCATTTAAATCTGATCAGTAATTTTTAAGGGAAAGAGTAACAAGCAGAAACACATACATACATCCTCACAAACTTTCGTTTTTATATTATTACTAGCTTTTACCCGCGGCTTCACTCGCGTCACAAAAGGATAAAAAGTAGTAGTACTATGTGACATATGTATACCAATACACACAGCGCCATCTATACCAATACTTTTGTTTTCCCTCGGGAAAATCAAATTTTCACGGGATTACAAGTACCTACCCTATTATTTAACTCGTCGAGTACCGGTTTTGTAGACACAATTATAGAACAATAGGTTGCGGTCACCGGTGACCGCTTGGTGTTTGACAGTTTAATTCGGATTTATAACTTTACATCTGCAAAAATTCAAAGCAATCGGTATAGTAGTTATGGCGTGAAAGTGGAACAAACAAACAAACTCACTTTCCGATTTATAATATTAGTAAGGATTAGTAGGAAGCGGGATGTTGGATGAATGAATGTTTTCCTTGATCGATTATGACTGGATATACACAGCAGCTATCCAACTTCACAAAATTATTGTACCTCTAGAATCGAACTCAAGTGATTTCACTGCCTCAGAAGAAACTGATGGTGATAATCGCCATGCGAGTGAGGTAGCCGGAGGCCTAATCCCACCCCCTCTCCCAAGATGTAACTTGTTTAGTGTTAGGAATGTGCATCACACTGATTTCCTACCATCAGGTGATTTGTGTGCTCGTGTCATTAATGATACTTCTTTTGTTTCTATCACATTAAACAATCTAATGAAACAAGCACATCACTCAATATTGTGCACTCAGACTGCACGGTTGGTGCGGTGGCTGGACAACCGGCTGCCGTGCAACGTGTCGCGGTTTCGATTCCCGCACGGAACAACACTTTGTGTGATCAACAAATTGCTGTCGGGTCTGGGTGTGATGTGTATGTGAAATTGTATGTTTGTAAACACCCACGACACAGGAGAAAATCCTAGCGTGGGGATATGTTTTGTAAAATTAAAAAAAAAAAATAAAAAAATCACTATTCATAGCTGTTCACGAGTTGTCTATGCAAAAACATCACCCCACCACGAAAATAAAGGGAGTACAAAATAAAGACATTACATTGGCGAGCACATAAAGCCAGCATAACTACACATCGGGACAAGATAAGTTCGATCACGCGATCAGATGGTGGTACGACGGTATTACTTGGAGTGGCTATAAAATACAAACACGCAAAGTATGGACTTGGTAATATAGTGAGAAAGTCAAAGTCAAAATCATTTATTTCAATTAGACCAGAAAGGCACTTTTGAACGTCAACAAAAATTGAAAGTGAAGCCATTTCGCTCATTCCATGGTGTGGATTCCTATGGAGAAGAACGAGCAAGAAACTCCATAGGTTACTCTTTAACCTTGTAACCTTGTGAGAGAAAAAAAGATAAAAAAAAATAACCCTAAAGGACAGTAAATAATTTAAATAATTTCGACGATATATTAATCTGAAATATCGTGTGACGTCACAATGCGCTACATTTTGTAGCACTTTTTGACGTAGTGACCTCCCACTCCGAAACTTAACTCCATTTTATCTAAGTATTGTAACTTTATACGAGAAAATACAAAAAATACGTGTCTAATATTTTTTCATTATCTAATTGACAGACTAAATAGATTTTTGATTTTCATTCCCTGGCAACTACCCCATTGTTAGAAATAAGATGGCGTTTAGGTTAATGCCTTTTCATGTTAAGTATACGGAATCAATGAAAAGTTGACGCCATTACAGATATATTTAACAATTAATGTTTGGGGCATTGTAAAAGTAATGTTAAATAATAAATATGTCACCACATTACCGTGTGAACTTATATTTGTTAAATGTGTATAAATAATGCAGACTGTGTAAAAATAATGCAAAATAATGTGACCACTTAAGTGGATTTCGTTGTTTTTGGGTTAATCGCTACTAGTTTAATTCGATTCATTTTAATTTTGGTAAAATAACGATAAAACGAATAAGCATATTATTAAACTTTATGACACTTATCCAAAAATTATTTCAGTTAAACATTTATATGACTGAATTTTTATTTTGATGGTGAATTGAATTTTTCATGAAGTTCTGATTATAAACTATTGTGATTGCAGTTTTAATCTGTTTTAAATCAGCGTATTGTACATATTTTTTTAATGCAATAGTATGTATTTAGTTTCTACTACTATGAATTTAGTAACGTCAGTTATATCTTTCTCATTATTGAACGGTTAACACTTTTTTGTCCAATAACAATACCCACTTCTTTATCTACCTACTATCTACTAACTAATCACAGAAAACCGATGGGAAACAACGCTTGCGTTGTGTTTCTTCGGGCTGGTTACCGGAGGCCCTCCTCCACACTTCCCCAATCTCCCCCTTCCTTGAATCTCCAATAATCCTCAAATTTTTAATCCCCAAAAGGCCGGTAACGCACTTGTAACGCCTCTGGTGTTCCGGGTGCCTATGAGCGATGCCGATTGCTTGCCATCAGGTGATCCGTCTGCTTGATTACCGGCTTATCCCATAAAAAAAGAAACCTACTACGTTATAGGGCTGCGGACTTACAATGAATGTGTAGGACATTAATTGCAAAAATTGGTAATGTTAGTTATCTGAGGGCACACCGGCGGTTCCTATCATAGACACCGTCAAGTCGTTGTGGTTTAAGTCGTTAAGAATGGGGATATTCATCCAACAAAACATCTCAAAATTAACTACCAAAAAAAAACTACAAACAACAACACAGAAACACAAAAACAAAAAAATGTCTCAACTTCATACTGTTAGTAGACACTCAAGTGGGAAGGTCATTTTATTTTCATTATCTCTGCGGTACTGTGTGGGGGCGAGTTTACGACAAAGAAGTGCACTTCGACCTAATTTAAATACATTACTCGTTTTGTAAGAGACTACTAGCTTCGTTGTCGTACTAGATGATAATTGTACTTGTAACAGACGGAAATTTCCACTTAATTCAGTTGTTTGAGGCTGTATCAAGATTTGTGGGAGAGTTCCAATTTGAAGTGGGTTAAGTTAGTTTTTGTTTTATGTGGCTATTTGATTTGTAGGAGTATTGTTTTTAGGGATAGCATTGCTTGGTATTGCTTGAATGATTTAATTTATGTAAAATGTTTCGTTATGTAAAATTGAACAGACTAAGTTGAGTTAACTAAAAATCGCGGGTAACTCACGTGAATACACTGAGAAAAGTCTTACTAGTAGGCTCCGCGAAATCGCCGCGACTGCACGCGTTGCTTATGAGGAGCCTTCTATGTGGCTTGAAACAAGCACAGCTTTTCAGCTCAGTATCTTCTAAAAATGCTTGCGTTACTTTCACCATTCAACCCGTCGCGTCGTGTGTCTAAACGTGGATCCATACGAGACACAATATTTTTTCTACTGTCTCATATCCAGACATTCAAGCGGTTAAATGAAGTTACGAGAGGTCCAATCCTCCATTAAAGTCTCTTCATTACATTAAAATCACAATAAAAACATTGCTCACGTCAAAGAAATATCTCATACATATCAAATTTTAATAAAATACAATGTTTCTTTGCAGACAAAAGGAATTGTTCACAATTCATATAGAACATAATACAAAATATATATTAAAAGTACTCTATTTCACTGTAAGAGTACCTACTTTCCTTCATTGCACTCCCTCTAGCATTTGAAATTCTGAGTACTGCATTACTTTTATGAGGTAGTTTCAGTGTTTTGTTTGAAGTTATTCGTCTATCGTGGTTGGGGAGCCTGTCGACGATAAGGTACCACCACCCTGTACACACTATAGATGCATTAAAGTATCAGTCGTATTCAACGAGTCGAACTTGGGTTCGCAGGTTCCATTCCCTGGTTATTTAGTGTTATAAAGGTTTTCTATTTGGCAAGTTTTTTCGATAATTTTAGATTTGCACTTTGCACTGTTCGTAACAAATGTAGTTCGATATTTGTCAAGAGAGTCGCTTCTGGAATAAGATTAAACGAACGAGCTAACAATTGGTGTTTAAGTACATGTCTGTATGTGTAATTAATAACAATAGTACCTAATTAAATTTAAGTGTGGGAGAGCCATGCTTCGGCACGAATGGGCCGGCTCGACCGGAGTGATTCCACGGCCTCACAGAAAACCGACGTGAAGCACCGCTTGCGTTGTGTTTCGTCGTGTGAGTGAGTTTACCGGAGGCCCAATTACCCTCCCCTTCCCCAATCTCCCAAATTCCTGAATCCCCAACGATTGTCAAACTCCTAATCCCCAAAAGGCCGGTAACGCACTTGTAACGCCTCTGGTGTTCCAGGTGTCCATGGGCGACGCCGATTGCTTACCATCAGGTGATCCGTATGTTCGTGTACCGGCTTATGCCACAAAGAAAAAAAATAAAGTAATTATCTAAAAAATAAATATATCTTACCTTTTTCAAGTCTTTATTAATGTCGGTATCGTCTGCTTTCCTCTTCTCACAGGATAGTATGCAGTTCTTCCCGCTGTCTTTTTCTCCCTGGAAAAGAAGGAAAAAGATATTTTAGTACACAGTCATGTTTTACCATTGGATCATATGAAATTCCCGAGAATCGCATTGCATATATAAATGGTTGTCATAAACTCAGACAGATACAGATAGGTACTATGTATACAGTATGTAACAAAACAAAAACAAAAAAAAACAAAAGTTCGAAAAACAAATAAAAATAAACATATCCCGGCCACAACAACATTCAACACCTCTATCAACAACCAATTAACCCGATTTAATTCAAATAAAGACCATCGACGTTCGAATTTCGAAACCAATCGGAATCACCAATCAAAACGGTCGGCGAAAACAATTGGTCGGTACTAACCTAGGGTTGATAGGCGACAAATGAACGAAAAATAGACGACTAAGCGAAAATGTTTTTCATCGCAGTTTTGTTCCGTAAATTGTTTTGTTTTTACTACAAATTGCAATTGTTTGAACGTATTTTTGTTTTGTTTTTTTTCCGTGTTGTTGCGGTCTTGGTTAGAAATTGGATTGGTGTATGTTTATTTTTGGGTGTATGCAGGAATATGCGTGCAAAGGACATTTCTTTGATGAAAAAACATGAGTGTTATTTTTGAATAAAATATGAGGTGGTGAGAAGGTATTTTCCTTGTGTTTTTTTAGTTTCTTTTTGTACAAATAAGATTGTAACGAATATTGTAGTGAATGTTCTCATCTATCAATGTTTGACAATGTCAGATTAAATTGTAATTCTATATACCAACGTACTATCACTATCCTAACTAACTAGTTCACACATTAAAACAGAAAAAAAAACATACAAGTATAAAATTGACATCCCTAAGTCGGCCATGTTTAAAAAGCTCGTCACGTCACCGTGTCTCACAATTAGCGTGATACAAATTCTAACAAACTGTGTGTTGATTGCACACGTATTGTCAGAGGGTTGGGTGAACGTTGAACAATACCGCGGTGTTTTAGGGTTAAATTAATATTTGGTATATACGTATACATATCAGCGCAGTTGTCTAAACTTTTAAAGTGACAATAAAATAAATGTCGATTGGAAAACTTATTAACTCGTCTTTCCCCGAAGGGTTATGTTACATTTTTTAATACTTATAAATGAGTTCCATTTAAAAGTAGCCGGGTCTTACTAAGCACAATATGACGTAAAATAAATGAAAACAACCAAATAGTTTTAACTATAGTAAACACAAAATTTTAAGATGTTTAGTAATAAACCGATTCCCTACATGACACAATACGTAGCTTTATTTACATACTAAGAGATTGACTTTCAGTCCCTTTTTTAGTCTTCGACTTTCACGAAACTGACCGAACAAAAGCCGAAGCCTACAACCTCCCTATCCCTAAAAACAGTGACGCAACCTATTCCTAAACAAAGCAACGCATTTGTTTAAAAAGCACGTCACCATGATTCACAATTAGCACGCTACAAATTCTAACAAACTGCGAGTTGATTGCACGCGCGTCGGCGGAGGGTCGAAGTGAACAATGCGTCGTCGCTTTAGGGTTATACGTCAAATGGGTCAAGGGTTTTCAATGGAGTTATGTTGAAAGGTAGGACTATACAATTGATGTGTATGTGACCGTAGTGTGTGTTGTGTATTTTTGTGTAGATAATGTTTATTTGTGTATGCTTTCAAATCAACTTGTGTATCTAGTGGGGTTGAAAATGATACGTTTGAAAGGTTTCGTTTGGATTGTGGTTTTTTTTCTAATACTAGCTTTTGCCAGCGGCTTCGTTCGCGTGGAACAGTGACTTCCGACAGATTTTTGGTTATACCCACATAATTCCCCATCTCGCGGGATTTTTGAGAAATTCCGCTCCCACGGGATTTTCGGGATAAAACTATCCTATGTCCTTTCTCAAGTTCCAAACTATGTCTGTACCAAATTTCACACAAATCGATTCAGTAGTTTAGGCGTGAAGAAGAGACAGACAGAGAGACAGAGTTACTTTCACATTTATAATATTAGTTTGGATAACCACAAAGTCTACAATGTTGTTGATGATGACGGGGCTTTGGTGAGAGCATATATTGTGATTTTTGTGAATGTTTTGATAGCTACGAGCGTTCAAGTAAAATGTTAGAATAGATTTTTAAGCTCTGTTAGATTAGCAAAAAATATGCAACATCCATATATCTAATAGTCTCATCTAATAAGGCATATATCACTACATAGTATAAAACAAAGTCGCTATCCGCCGTCCCTATGTATGCTTAGATCTTTAAAACTACGTAACGGATTTTGATGCGATTTTTTTAATAGATAGAGTGATTCTTAAGGAAGGTATACATGAATAATACATGCATATTGCACCCATGCGAAGCCGGGGCGAGTCGCTAGTTAATTATAATCCGTACTGCTAATAAGCTATGTTTGAAAAATTACATATCGTTACTACGCTTGCTAATCCCTAAAAAGAAAAAAGTATCTACATATATGAATACTATACCTCTACACTACTTTATCCACTTATATGTTTCTTAGCTTCATTGTAAAAGAGCTTTACTCCAGCTCTTCAACAGAAAATATAATACAAATGTAATATTTTTATGAATTTCTCATATAAAACATTTATATATATAATAAATCACGAGGCTGCTTGACCCACGTATTGCGCCTTTCTGAGGCTTCAGCCTTGATGGATGGCTAGCATACATGTTAGATATTGTTGTACATATATGTTATATATAAATGTATATATATACAGGATTATTATGACTGTGAAATATGATTCTTTATATCAGAATTTCGAGCTTTTGATGTGGATTCGAGTTGGTTGCTGGATGTGAATTTTATATAGAATGTACCTCTAGAATTGTTGTGTTTATTGTAATGGTTAGGTAAGGCAGTGGTTTGGAAGCAAGTTTAAAAATTCTAAATAATTTGTTGTTCGCCTAACATAAGTGGTAGTTACACTTCATTCACTGTGCTAGTTATTTTTTTAATTACTGAGTCATAAAGACGACTACTTTAATACCGAATATAGAATATTTCCAGTAAAAATATGACCAAATCAGAATTATACATATTATGTATAACTATCTATTATATAGTAGGAAACTTAATGAATAAATACTTTTATAAATAGTTATTTATACAGATAAATTAAATTGGAGTGTCTGTTTGTAATATTGAAATAACCGCTTTTTACTACACGCAAATGAATATTCAAATGCGGGTAGTAGGTAGTTGTTGGTATATGTCTCGTATATATATATATCTCATATACATTTTATAACACTTTTTTGTCTGTCTGTCTGTTTGTACTGGCTAATCTCTGGAATGACTGGACCGATTTTGACGGGACTTTTATAGGCAGGTAGCTGACGTACTAAGGAGTTACATAGGCTACTTTTGTTTTGGAAAATTGGAACGAAATAAAGTTGTGTTCTAAAATTCATATTCTACGCTGCCGAAGTCGCGGATACACAACTAGTAGTAAAATATAAAAAGTGTAATTGCAAAACAATGTACGTTTTAATCAAAGTTCTGTTGTGGTAAAGTAGGTATATAGTTTTACCCCAACTAATCGGTTTATTTATAAGTTATATATAAGTTGGGTAAAAGTGGTCAAGAATATAGTACATCATCATTATTTGAGCTGAAAACGGCCACAACTGAACAAACTTAGCTCCTAAGTACCGCTAGTACATAACTAAATAGTTTATGAAACTTATAAGTTTTATTACGTAAACCCTATTAATTGTACGTAGGTATTACGTAGGATAACATGATACTTAATATTCTACTCACTATTTTATACATTTTTAATATATGTTTTCTTAGTATGTGTTGAAGTTGGGATTAGTTGCAGCTGATAAACTAAGTTAACGATTTTTGCCCAATATTAGTTGGTTACGTTTCATATCCCACTAACATTAAAATATCACATCTTTTAATTTATACAACCTGTTGGCATATTTTAGAAAGCATCTTATCCCACGGCTGCTATGTAGCTAAAGTAATAAAATTAATTAAATAACATATAAGTAAAATAAAATAAACAAAAAATAACAAATCAAAAGAAAACCTTAAACAAAAATTACTGTTAAGAAACCATAGACGCGTGGGGCGCGCTACGATCAATAAGCTACGAGCCGCCCTACGCGCTACGCGCTACGAGCGTAGCCGTGCTACGAACAGCTGATATTTTAGTTCGGAACACGTGTAGTGTAGACGAATGTAAATAGAAAATGGTTTTAAAATTAAAAATTTTATTTTATTCAAATTTTGCCTTCAATTTCCTCATTTACTGTTTACTTTGATAATTTTTGAATTTCTATACCTATCACTTCACATAATATATATAGGGATCTGAAAATGCGACGAAATGGTTCCAGTAAAGGATGGCAGTAGGCAGTGTTAGCTTCCCACTCGACTTGGCGGGGGCACTGCCGTGCTCCCAGATTTAAAAACAATTATCACATTAATCATAATAACAAAACCAGACAAATATCAACAACTGCCAATCACTTCTCTAAACACACAATCACAAAACACACTCAACAAAAGTTTACCAAAAAATAATCTGTTGACCTAAAAATGATTTGTCAACCATTCTATTTACATTGTAAATAAATATTCAATAAAACACAACATCAATTTTGCAAAAACTTTTAATTGAAAGAGTTTGACCTCGGGCTAATGAATTCAGTGATAGATAGCGGTAGGCTTCGACAATGTGCTGAAAAAAGTTTGGCAATATAATTGAAGGAAAAACAGATGGTTTCAAAATGGCGATTATGAATGACAGTTAAGATAATTGGTGACGATTTGATGACTAATTAGAGGATTTGAAATTATATTTAGACTGGCTGACCTGGCGAAATTCGTACCGCCTAACTTATTTTTATAAACCTTCCCTAGACTACCACGAACATTTCAAGCCCAACATTAAGCAAATCGGTTCAGCCGTTCTCAAGTTTTAGTGAGACTGACGACGGGAATTCATGTTTATTTTTTTTATGGCATAAGCCGCTCAA